ACACGCCATCCTTGTTTTCATCGTCAGCGTGAGAAGATGAAATTATCAGGAAAGAATCGTGGAAGATTATAGAAGAAAAGTTGAAAGATGGCGTAAAATATTTGTACGGTGTAACAAACGTTCTCCGAGCGCGTTCAGTTGACGACGGAGAACGAGGCAAGGGCAGTCGAGACACCTTTTACTCCCTCGACACACTTTTATTTTCCAATCCATGCCGATTTAGGTATCGTTAGAACGTGTAGACTCGCACGGCCGCTATATCGAGGATTAGGTGAGCGTGTAATTGTCCGAGCAGTTGATCGGTTGCGTCGTAATGCCGAGCATTACGTCCGCTCTTTTTCTCGCACCTGCACACTCGATGGATACTCGTCTTCGAGACAGATCTCGCGACGTAACCCTGAACTGGTTTCCTTCGAGCATCGTCTACGCGTTAAACGGCGGTGAAACTCTGATGTCATATCCGTCTATAGAGACGGCAATTTATACTTTTCTCGAAGATTTCTACTTGTAATTAACACATCCACTTTGGCGTATCTCGGATCGTTCCTCGTTACAGCGAACAGAACGGCCAGTGAAGTTGGTTCACGATGGAAAGTGAGAGTTGGCGATACGTTTCTCGCATCGAAAACGCGCGCATTAGAGAAATTGTCTAATAAACACCGGCGTCAGCGTTGTTAATGCACACATACGTATAGGTGTGCGCCGATGAAAGTGGTTTAACGAGTCAGCAGCGGCCATTTCGCATACGCTCAACTAAACACACCGACCGTACGTTCTCCGTGGATCGGAGAATCGCGGAGATTTTTAGGAGATTTTGCGAGAATACGTACACCTTGTCGTAAATCATCCTCGTGGTACAATGGAATTTGACATGTTGCAAATTTGTACGCGTGAAACGTGCCGGCAAGGGTGTGCCGTGGAGAACAAGAGCGGAAAACTCGTGTTATGGCGCAGAAGGTTACTCGTCTATGGCGTCTGTTCTGTTGTAGAGTATAAAGCTGTGCAACAACCATATACGGCCGGAATCGCATGCAGAAGCCTCGTTTCAACGACGTCCTCGAGCAAACGTTTCCACTCACGTACACCGTGTTCGATCCAATTATACATAATCGCGAGGATGCTGTGGAAAATGTGTGGCAAAGACGTGGTGTGCATGTCTCGTAAAAACTAGATTCTTCGAGCCCGGAGGATCAGGATCGATGGGTGTTCAGAGGCCAGAATCGTTTCAAGGATGAAAGTTTAAGTAACGATTTACGCAACTTCGAAGCGGTGTTGTTATACACACGACTGGTAATGATAACTTGAACATCTTCCGCAGAGAAGATAATACGCACCTTGCGTCAAGTATTTGCATAGAATCTTGTCTTTTATTTAGTTTCAGCTTTTAATACCTCCAGTCTCTCTACCTCGAAGGTATTTTTATAGTGAAAAGAAAGACGGTAGAATTGTTTGTCTGTGTTATAAAAGTGGCGGAAGCACTGGGAAAAGTAATTGAACGTAATTCTTCTGATTACAGGACGTTACGTCCGATCCTTAGCTTGGACGACAAATAATGGCGGATAATTATCGATAAACGGTACGATCATTTTCTCGAAACATTTTAGCGGATTCTTCGGTCGTAGGCATTAATGAAAACGTTAGAACCGCGTAAGAGGCACGTATCAGCCGGGAGAACCCAATATTTTCGTACATTATCAGGTATCTTAATCGAGAGAGACTCTATCAAGTAGATCAATGGGTAATCGGATCGACGTATAGTCGCGGAACTGGCGTAGGTAGTCGTAAGTATCCTTGAGAACGCCTATCGTTCGATCCTGTTCGCATAACGCCGGTGGTATTAGTCACACTCGCCTTTACGCGATTATTCTATCCGTTTACAGTGATTCTATGACGTCATTCTCCCGCTGTTTCGGCTCCAAGGCATTTCGATCCGAGTCTGTTGTACGTAAGATCCTTTGTTGGACGATAAAAAGGTAAAATTCGCTTCGAAAGTGAGATTCATCTGTTAGTTTCCCGCGAAGGAATCCTTGGTTATCCATTTACGTCAAGCTCGAAGGTAAAAAGCTCGAAAGTCGCCCATGCTGCGTAGGTGTAGCCAGAGATTGCAGACTGTCCGTGAAATTCCGTCTTCTCTACATAAGACACACCTACGCGAGTCCGTGTCGCCCATCGAGGAGACCCGCAAGCTTGACCAAATTCGAAATTTTCCTTCTTTTCTCTTCTTTTTATTAGATTCATTTGAAAGGAAGGCCGTTGACAGCAGAACGTTACGTAAAACGATAGGATTGGAACAGATCGGTGAAAAATCATTTACGCAATGCGTGTTCTAAACTTGGTCGCGTCACTCACGACTTTCTCTCTCGAGTTAAACAAACGTGATTTTCTATTGACCGTTCTCGCGATGATGTTTGCACGCGCATGTCCATATGTAGAAACGCGCAATTGCTCTATCGTTTCCATCGACCTTCTTTCTACCAGCTAATTTGTCTCCTTATCCGATCCTTAATCTATATGATACAATTTCCAATTAATCTCAGCGTTATACGTATACAATGTAATTACATCAGGTGTTGTTAATTACGAAAGGTGAATGAAAGTTAACGAGTTGTACAAATTTGCTGCATCTTATTGACACGATTTTTCCATGCGTCGACCTATCGTTGGAGATATGTATGTATATTCTTCGAGTAAAGCTCATCGGGCAAAAGATGAAGGCTACTTGGATTTTTTATTGAAAAAAATTCAGGTTAAGTGGAAGGAAGTATTATATCGGAGACGGTGACGAAAGTTGGTACGTGTGAACTTCTCTCGTAGGGGAGCGTTTAGCAGCTTACTTCCGGTATCGGTTCTCCTACCGACTTCACAGAGAAACGTCTGTGAAAACGAGCTCCAGGCTCCGCGAGATCCTGCGCCGATATTTGAAAGAACACCGAGTAAAAGTGGGCGTGGCTGTTCCGAACGGATTGTCTTTCCTTCTCGCGTGTGCAGAACACTCTTGTGCAAATATTTGCGGATACTTGGCGACTTTCTGCCACCGAGAGACGATTTTTTCGCCTCTAGACACTTGTGTTCTTCCTTCGCCTGGAATCTTGCCTCCCTTACCATTTTTTTCTTTTTTTTCAATTGATATCTCACGCGAAAAAACGCACACTTGCAAGTGTGTTATTTGCATTCACAGTGCTCGTTCGCTTAGAAATTTTTCGTCCATTCTTCTCGAGTGTGCTCAGCGTTCTGTAAACGTTTACATCTCCTCGAAAGTTTCCACTTTTTTCGTGAGAAACTGCTTTACAATCTTCTTTTCCTTTTTTTCCATTCCTCAAACACGTAAACGTTTATCGAATCGAGAACCTGTTCGGTCTTTTTTATTTTCACATGTCATGTGAGTATGTGCATCCACTTGGAAATTCCAAGTTTCCTGGGTGACGATGGTTTCTACTCGAAACGCTTTCTTCTCTCAAACTTGCAATTTCTACGTTAGTTGTGAGATTTTTACATGGAGAAATGTGCATGCGTTCACTCTCGAAATCAACGAACGTTTCGTCAGAGAGAAAAATGTACGAATTATATTATATCCGAAGGATCTCTTGAAACTCTAACCAGATTACGCGTTGCACAGGCCCCAGATAACAGCCTTCTGAATGGCTTAACGACATGAAATTCGCTACTCTTTGTCGTGAAAATGTCGTTTGCTACAGTTGTCGTAGGAGAAACGAGCAGGCTTCCAAATAATCTCGCACGACGTTCGTTTAGAGAGACAACTCGAGTTACAGGACAGAATTCGTAACGCTTGTTAGATACGGAATAAAAACTGTATCGATGCAATCGTTGGTCAGATACCAATTGGATTCGTTGCTGGAACAATTTTTTATCGTTGCACGAATGCAGGGCAACTTTCTCGAAAAAGAAAAACGTTTGTTTATATCTTTATTCCGAATCGCGTCGTTTCGCTGAACGAATGCTGGTACTAAATGCTTGGCTATTGAAAAATTGCGGAGCATAGGAAAATATTAGAGCCGCCTCGACACAGTTTTCCTGGCAGACGGTTTCGCGGGACGTTGTACCAACAAAGGATTACATAATTTGCCGCATTCCTCGCCAACATACTACGCTCGCCAGCCACGCTTGTTTTTCGTACGACACGATATGAGAGAAAGTATCGTGCACGCGATTCGATCGAAATCGAAACCGAAGGAAAATCGGTGTCCGATTGTTTTTTTAAGGGTGATGTTACAGCGTAGCTGTTGTTGTTGCTGTTAGTTTGAATGAATGAAAAATATTGATTTAACGAACTTACCAATAAAAACGCCAGTACGACCCCCCGCCAGTCCATGGCTAAAATAAAAGAGAAAGTGTTATTAATAACTGGGTCGAACTCCCATGAGTACGATCGACCGTGCAAAACTTCTCTCGCGCGAGAACACTTGCAACGAACACGAAAAATCGCTCGATTATCCTTGCATAGATTTTTTAGTCGACCCCAGTTAAACGTCTCTTCTAATCATATTAACCTACTGAACTTGCATCATCGATCATCTTCTATACACTAATCGAGTCTTAACACTGTATGAAATCGTTCTCCATCCTCGACGAGATGAAACTGTTCGGTCTACAAGATCCTATGGAAAAATCATCGTCAGTTGATGTAACACGACACCATTGAAAGTTTCTACAAGTCACGGACACAAGAAACTCGTCTCTGTTGCGTTGCCGCATTTCGATAGGCGGAACCGAGGGTTGAAATAATCTGCAGGGGGCGCACAACGAAGATTCGATTCGACGTGAAGAGAGAAAAGGTTTTCGAGGTGGTTAGGTTAGGTAGGTAGAGCCCCGTGTCGGGCGGCACGAGAAAGCGACGCGGTGTTTCGCGAAGGTGGCCGAACATAACGCAACGTTCACTTTTTCGAGCAAGAGGAGAGGCCGGTGCACGGAACAGGAACGACCTCGAGCACACTGGACCACCGTGTAGCTTGACCGTGTAGCCCTTCGATGCGCGCCATTTTCACCGCACCACCGTCCATTTGCGTTTTTTTCTCCGATTACACATCGACCTCGCGACAACACGAACCGCAGGATTTTGCACGAGGTTGGTCGATCGACATCCCGCGAGGTTCTGCCACCTTCTTTCCACCTTTTCTCGCCGCGACCAGGAAAGTCAGGCTCGTGCCATGAGCTGTTGCACTTGGGAACCCAGGGCCGTACGATACTCTACCTTTCACTTTCTCTTTCTCGCGCGAAAAGACCATTTTACAATCTTCTGACAATCTTCACGTGACTTGTCTGAGTAAGGTAAATATGTACGGCCATCGAGGCGCCCACACGTCATGGCATACCGAGCGTCCAAGTCACCGGTGACTTCTGTAGTCATCGATACAGACGCGCGTTCGAGCTATTACGAAACCCTGAGATTTATTAGCAAAACAATCACGTTAACTCTAATACAAAAGTAACCGATAAAAGTAATTGCAACATTTAGAAAATAGTTTATCGAACTAAACTGTCTAAAAGTACCAAATGATTCCAGTTGATCAGATCGATAAGACGAATAAGACGAATCTGAGTTGTACGTTCTCGAGTTAATATCGATCGGTTGAACGCGTGAGCGTGGAAGGATCCTTGGCGCCTGCATATTTGGTCACCGGTATACACCACCTACGAGGATGAACACAAGCGTCACGAGCCTTGTACCCGTTTTCACGTAGTTCCGTTGCATAACGCCGTTTCATTAAACCGACTATGAAGTCCACGTTATACCCATTCAGCCGTTGGCTGTTTGCCCCTCCGCTTTTCCGTGCTCGAGAAAGGAAACGGTTGCTTCCACGCTCTGTTCAAACCAGCTGTCAGCCGTTCTCGCGTTCTACCCCTCTCTACCGCACAATTTTTCGAACCTCTGTCCACACCTCCCCCCGGTATTCGTCGTATGGAACGGTATCGAGGTCGAAATCGTAATGCACATTTTCAACGGAATAAGTACGTGACGGTAACGTTTGGAGAATTTAGTACAGGAAAGTTCGGTTGTTAAATATAGCACTAGGCAGTTAATTGAAAGATGCTAGGCTTCCCACAGTTTTAAACGTTGGAATTCATTGCAGATGAATCTGATGGAAGGAATTTATACGAGTAAGTAGTGGGAGATTTTCATTGAAGACAAGGGAGATGACGTTTACTACACGGCGAAATCATTGTGAAATGTTGGTGTTCGCTTTCGACGACCTTGAGAATGGAGAACCATTTAAAACGCGTAAGTACCTTCGCGCAGTCCTAGGTGTTGTTATTTTACATTCGTTTCCACTATAGATTCGCTAATAACTCGTCCCAGGCGCCTCCTGCGCCCTTGAACGTCCGCCAACGTGGTCTTCGTAGTCTTTCCCCGCGACAAGATATTGCGCCATCTTGGTGTCAACGGGATTAAAAACGCGAAACTCGAAGAGACGTTTAACTGGCCCTTATCTTCATATCTTGACGCCACTACCGTCTATCGCGTTTTATCGATCGATCTAATAAGTCATTAGGCAAATGAAGTTGGTTAATCGAGCGAATGTATCGCTTTGCCGTTGATGAACCGATATACATATAGTATCTCTGAATAGAGAACTAACAGAATTGTTAGTCTGCTAGTTAGTTGATCAATCGCGGGTAAAGAATCATTTGGAGAAATAAGTAAGTAGAAAAGAATCTCACCTGTCGAATCGCCGAACTTCCACTGAAAATTATCCAATTCCGAACGCGATATCCGGTCGTTTTTATCCAATCGATAGACAGGCGTTCTTAGAAAATAACGAGTCAATCGTGAAACGACGATAAAGAACGAAGAGATGAAAAGTCAAAGGTACGAAGGAAGATCGCTATTTCAAGAGACACCGTGTTTCCTTGGAATCACCAGTTCGATCTACCTCGTGGATCCGGCTCGTTCATCATCAACACTTCCGGTAGCACACGAGACTCGTCGTACAGCGTCGGAAACGCGTTCTCGCCGGCCATAAAGTCCATCTCACGCACGTCGACATCCCCAAATCGTGGGTGATCTCTCGATGACGATTCTTCTCGATCATTTACAAGACTCGAGGTCTCTTCGAATATACACCTGTAGTTTTACGTTAAAGAATAATCGATCATCGTTACTTTGAAAACGCGTAACGCCTCCCTTTTATCGTCGATTCTAAACTCTATTCTCTCAAGTTGATCTTATCATTCGGATATGTTTAATATAACTTTCAGTCTCGCAAACTTCTTCTTCTTTTTTTTTCGCTTCTTCTCGTTTTTCTTTCTTTTTTTCTTTTTTCTTTATTATAAGATCGATCGGCACGGTGATGTTCTCCAGAATGGATCGACCTCCCCCGAGAATCTTGCCATACCTCGCGAGGCAAATTCTTTTCACGCGTTTTATTATTTTTGCCACTGCACCACACACCTGCCGGCACGGCGGTTCGTTCGTTCGTTGCTCTGGAAAGAAGCAGTCGAGCATGCAAGGAGCCGAGGAATAGTGAAATCCGTTGCGATCGACGCGAGGCTCGAGACTGCACTGCTCTTCGTTCTCTGTTCACGGTCCCTCTTACCTCTGCGTGTTCCCCTCGCGACAGAGCAAGAGTGAACCGTGTGTGCACAGGTGAGAGAGGGAGAGCCAGAGAGAGAGAGAGAGAGGGATCGCGAGGATACGTCCTGTGTGTTAGAGGGACGAGGACGGGTGAATTTTGCGCTGGGAGAAAAACGAACGTGAAAAGGCATAAATCTCAGGTTAAACGGAAGGAAGAAAGAAAGAAACGAAATTTTCTGAATAGCGGTGGATAAAAAGAAACGTGAAGAAAGGACGTATCGGTAGATCGAAGAGTGACGAGAGGAACAGAGAGAAAGAACTGGTAATGATCTAGAGAATATTTGAACGATTGACCGACAGAGTGCGACACAGGAGTGTTCGTCTTTGTCTATAGATCCTGGAGCGAGAGATCGATCGTTCTCGGAACGAAATTTCGATGTTGGAATATTATTTCATATTACTCTTCTATCGTTTCATTCCAAGTGTCTTTGTTATTAGATTGCTGTTTCACTTGTAATATATCGAAAGAATGATATTTTATTCTATCCTTGTATAAAGATTGAGAAGGAAAGATGGAATGATTTTCGAGTAATTTTGTTTGATTTCTAATGCTTGTTGAAATTTGAAATATATTTAGTAGGATCGTTTGGCCTTGATGCATCTTAAAGCCATTACTATCGAGGTAAGATGCTCGCGAAAAAGAGGTAGAAGGAATGGAGCGAAGAAAGAAAATGCCTGCGGATATTGAGAGAAAAAGGATAGACTGTGCTTACGTCATCGCTCGGATTAGATGTTGTTCTATACTTCTCTCGGGAGATGTAGAAGAACTTGACAACTTTTCTCGATTAACTCAAGCGATGTGGTATTCGATAACGCTAATTTTTTTTCTATTATTAAATTGTTGATAAATTTTCACCGGATATCTTGTTTTGTCGAAGATGAAATTCCAGTATTTATTTTCTGACTGAACAAAATTCAAGGCAGTGTTTAATACCTACAGAGATAAACTAGAAATTAATCGAAAGATTGCATTGGTATAATTGTGTTGCATAAAATCACATTTGCATTTGTAATTCAAATGGATCTTGTTACGTGTTAAATTAATTTTTTTAAATCATGGATAAACTTCTGCGCCTCGAACGTGGTTAAAATATCATTAGTTGATACTATATTGTAGTTTGGCTAAAGTATATTAAATTAATTTACATCTAACGTTTGATTAATTACTTTTCAACCTTAAATAATTTGATCTATTGGAAAATGAATTCTCGTGCACGTATGTGATAAATTTAGCTGCGTATGGTAAGTTACCGGTTACGCACACGACGAGCATACATGTTTAACGCAAAAGTAAATTATTTAAACATGGCGCTCGTGCATCGTGTAAATCTAAACTTTAATACCCTTTTAGGAACGCATTACTGTAAATGTATAATAAACATAAAAAGATTGATAGCAGCGACCAGTTACAAGGCACAGCTAAATGGTAATTGTCGTATGACTTCAAAAGGTTCGTTTGAAATAGTGTTTTTATTACTATAACCTCAAACAGAATTATACTTTCTTCTATTTTATTTTCAAATGTATTTTTAGTCTTTCTAATTTATTCTATTTCAATATTTCTTTTCATATAATTCCTTCTAATTGCACAAATTGGTTTTTCTAAGTTAAACGATAGTGTTTGATGTAGATATTGATCAATCAAAATTCAAGTAACAAAATGTAAAATAAAGTGTGAAATATATATTATAGATAAAAAAGAAACATCAAAGAAACAACATAAATCATTTAAAGAGATGCTTATGTTCAGACAGACTCAAGCACGAAAAAGTATTTTGGTGAAAATACCATCACTTAGCAGTGCTTTTAATGTTAAAATGACTTGCTCGTATTATGGCAATGTTGTAAATACAGTTTCTTATGCTTCAAAAGATATGGTAAGTTATTTTCTGTAATATATAATATCTCTGTTTGAAAATTATAATATAATATTTGTGGGTTCAAGTTTAAAATAGTTGTAAACGTGTTATAATATTGTTTGTAGGCTTTTCTATTAGTGGAATATAGCACAGAAAATGAAATAATAAAGCTTAAAGAAACAATCAGGTATCAAAGTAGAGAATATCTTTGTGCAGTTACACCGTTATACTCGTATAAAGATCTACCACAGACAGTTAAACTTAGAGGAGGACAGTTGCAAAAAAGCTATGCATGTAGTGCCTTTGTAGCACCCACGGAAAAAGAGATGGTGAAAAAGCTAGAAGAAACAAACTCTGTAATGTATTAACATACTACTGAAAGTAGAGTCTTAATACAATAATAATAAGAAAATGTTTTAATGTTTTAGATATCGGAACAAATGATTTTATTGTACAATGTATTGAAACTTCCAGATTTCAATATAAGACTGAGATTTTATACTGCCGAGCAGATATCGTTTTATTTGTCTAGATTATTTACAAATATATCTGTTTTACCATTTGGGTCCTCCGTTAATGGTTTCGGTCAACTCGGATGTGATCTTGATTTATTATGTCAAATTGATCGAGTAAAACAATCGGTAAGTGCAAATCAGTATGCACATATTTATATTATACATGTCTACTTTTATAAAAACTAATTTTAGTGAATTCCTTTTTTTCAGAAGTCGGATTCACTTAGTTTTCTAACGCAAACACTTTCCCTTAATGAGAAAAATGAAAAAAAAGTATTCTTAGAAACAATAGGTACATTAATGAAAGTATTTGTTCCTGGTGTGACAAATATGAGAAAGATTCTAGAAGCTCGTGTTCCTATAATTAAGTTTTTTAACACGTATACAAACATGCAATGTGATCTTAGTAGCAGTAATGTGTACGTAATAAAAGTATTTGTTACCCTTTTATCTCGACCTACAATTGCTTTTAAAACTATTTGTACAGGTTAGCATCGATCATGTCTCAATTGTTATACACATATGCAGAATTCGATTGGTGTGTTAAACCACTTGTTTGCACTATCCGTAACTGGGCAAGAAATAGGTCCTTAACGAAAGACGAGCCAGGACAATGGATAACAAATTTTTCCCTTACTCTATTAATAATATTCTACTTACAAACAAAATACATAGTGCCATGTTTAGGTACACTACAGGACGTTGCACGTAAGCACGAAGATTGAAAAGCTTCTTTACAAGTTTACTATATTAAACATACTTTTGATTTTAGGACACAACACAAGCAAACTGCAGGCTGTTAACCAGCAGCCCAAAAATGAAATTTTGTATCAGCTTTTATATGGTTTCTTCGAGTATTATAGTATTTTCGATTTTAAAACGCAAGCAATTTGCATTCAAGAAGGATGTCCAAGACAGAAAAAAAGTTATGCGCCACTTTATATTTACAATCCATTGGAATCAACATTAAACGTTAGCAGAAACGTTACAACAATACAATTGACGCAGTTAATAGATAATTTTCGAAATGGATTGCACATAATGTTAAGTGTAAAGGAAGAGGATATTCTTATGTGTCTACTTAATCTAAAAAAAACCCCAGAGATGTGTAACAATACTCCAAGCATACAAATTTCTCAAAAAGAAAGTCTTAATCAGGAAATGTTTACAGAACAAAGAAATGCTAATATTTTATAATATTTACAATTAAATAATAATACCAACGTGTCATTGTAAATTCATTTATTTGCAATTCAATTCTCTAGAGTTCATCTGACTTGTAAATATAGTTTTACTTATAAATTTCGGTGCAACGGAGGACAAGCGGTTTTATTACAGAAGAATATATTTATCGCAAAAATGATAAAAATCCAAGTAATCTAAATTTGATTGATGTTTTAGTTGAATACAAACTGTACATTATATACTTTATTCACGCAAAACTAGCAATATAATTATAATTAATCAGAGTAAATATTAATATCAGAGTAGGTATATTATATGTAAGTACTTCTATCTTTGGGTGCATTTGATGATAGTATTAGAAGAATTTTATATCTTTATAATTTATCGACACTTTCCAATATTCTTGAACACATTTTTCTTGGGTATTATTAAAATTTCAGAAATGTAAAATATGCCAGCGTAACAATAGTGCGAAATAAATTGTGTAAAATAAAATATACACTGATAATATAATACATAATATGGATAGGAAAGGAGAGACAACAGAACCATTTTCTTACTTTGTAACTTGTATATTTCTCTATTATCAGAAATTCGACATTTCTCATATATAATTAATCGTGTACATTTGCTATAATTGTAACGTTCTCGTGATCCATATGAAGATCATGATCCTTTTGAATCCTTTAACGATCGTGTTAACTTTCACGAGGAACCTTCGTTTTACTGTATGGTAGAAGCTGTATACTTCTCGTAATCTACGAGATATTGGATAAACATTTGTGTGTGTGTGTGTGTGTGCGTGTGTGTGTGTGTGCGTGCGCGTGTGTGTAATTGTAAAAAGATTTATCGCGACTATACACCCATAAAAAGTGGTGCATCACTGCGAACGATGGATCCTCGTGGGCTCTTGGCAATTACGAGTACACTTGTGATTAGCCTATTCTTTCTCGTCAGCACAAAAGCAGTGTCGTTTTCGATTCACCATGTACAATCGAATTTAAATTCCTCCTTTTTACGGTAGTATTACATTGTATAAAGTACCTTTGAATTTTTTACATATAAATTCTAATTTTCACGAATTAATTTCGAGTAATTCAATTTACGAAATTAATTCCTCCTAGTCCAAATTCTGAATTCAAGTTTAAAAAGAAAACGCACGATTTGAGCAGCATGGAAAATTCTTTCCTTCCTCTCCTTTCTTCTTCTTCTTCTTCTTCTTCTTCTTCTTCTTCATCTTCTTCTCCTTATTCTTCTTCATCTTCTCCCTATTCTTCTTCATCTTCTCCTTATTCTTCTTCCTCATCTTCTTCTTCTTCTTCTTCATCATCTTCTTCTTCTTCTTCTTCTTCTTCTTCTTCTTCTTCATCTTCTTCTTCATCTTCTTCTTCTTCGTCTCTTTGTAATAATTATAATGTAATCCTAACTCTCCGTACATAATTTTATCGTCATGTCCCTCTAATCCTATAATTCGAGCCTTTGAGTACATCGATCACCCTTTTAGGGATTTGCATCAACAATAACACTATCCCAACGTGATCATTCGCTTTCCTTTTTATGTATGTATACATATATATAGTATGTATACTTTATTTCTTTACGTATTATTTCACTATTGGCAGCGATATTGTGACCTTCGGCGCTTCAAAGTGCAATCAAAACGCTGTTCAATAAAAAATCGAGAATTGCTCTACGTTGAAGGCTGGTTGACCCTGAAACAACTTTGACTAGACATACATTGGAGTAGAAATCACTCGACCAATCATATATAAAACGTTGAAAACACTTCTTTGGTCCAAACCTGAGAAATAAAAGACTCGAAAAAGGTGTTCTCACGATGTATACGTACGCGAAAAAGTAAAAAGATGCACTTGTCGAAGGTGCTTTCTCATCGTCAATGGCAGTTTCCTTTTTTTTTTTCTTTCTTTTTTTCGACGACAAAACGAGAAGCCCTATAATTCGTACCATTATCTCCGTCTCTCGTTTATATTATACACACCACACGAAATGCCCTTCTTTATTTTTATTTTATATTTTTTTTTTCTTTTTATTTTCTCCATTATCATAATACCGCTAATAAAACGTTGGGAAAATACTCGGGAAAAAATTCTCGTAGTACCATTTCGCGCAACAATAGATTCTCCCTACCAAATAACAATGTGCTCTATCGATCGAAAAAAGTACAGTCCTTCGTTAATACTTTCCCCGATTTATGCTAGGCATTATTCTGGAGGGTATTCTCGATTGCCTCCCCGGATAGGCAAACGCATCCAAATCTACGCTTAAATTCTCTATATTGAATACCTTTTTAATTTCGATTATTCCGTTTCGTCTCTACTTAAACATCTACGTATCCGCTCTTTTGACTATCCGGGCTGATGGGATACCTCATTGAAGAAAAAAAAACCTTCACCGTGGCTCTCTCTCTCTCTCTCTCTCTCTCTCTCTCTCTCTCTCTCTCTCTCTCTCTCTCTCTGTCTTGCCAACGATCCTCTCTCTCTCCCTCTCTCTCTCTCTCTCTTTCTCTCTTAATTCGTCTTGCTCTTCCGGTGATGGCGATGATGATGCATATGATGATGGCGTAGATGTGACCTGGTCTCCTGGACAGCTGCCACCAACGTTCTCACCGTTTCCTCGTGTCCCTCGAAACTGTCCGTTTTCTTCAGCTGGCTCAAGGACGAAGCTCCACCCTCGCTGGTTGTTACGCTGCGTTTGCTCTTTGGCCGCGGGAACGTTTCCCAGGAACGCTGCTTCTGTACCAGAGACGACGACTTCGGTGTAGGCCCGATCAAAAGAACCAGTGTTTTCCTCGGATCCTGCGCGGATTGACCTACCGTCCCGTCAGCAATGCTGGAACGTCTGCTACCGGAACCGGTGGTGCTCAAGCTGTCGCAGCTCGCTCGTCGACGTCTCCTCACCTCCGCCGAGGCCTTCTCGTCTGCGTAGAACACGTCCTCCGAGTCACTCGCTGGATAAACCTTAGTTCCTTTGCTAGATGAGATTGGCTGTTCGTCAGGAACCGCGTGCACCTGAGCTTGGACACGTTTCTTTGCCTCCCCCATGCTGGACGCCTCTGAGATTCGAAGATACTCTCCTTCTTCACCTGCTATAAGAACGATTCAGATGAACGAGAGGGGGCAGGGTGGTGAAATGAGATGCAACTGAGATTCTAGGTGTGTTCGAGAGATGATTGTCTGATGAAAGATGACGAGATGTGGCTGGAGTATCGCGTGTGTGAATAGCGTTATTAGTACGGGAGATAATTAGACGTTATATTCGATTGTTGCTTTAATTACAATTTATCACCGTGGAAAGAATATATATATATATATACCTACTCGTGGCGTGTTACAACCACGAGACTGAACAGAAGAAGCGTCCTATTAAATCCATTACAATGTTTCAAGTACGATGTACACAACACTTGTATCGTAATGAGCCATTCATTGACTTACACCTTAGTTTAATTGGCCTCGACCGCACTCTCATGAATCGCGAATTGGGCGCGATAGTACAACAATTCTCGTCTGTATTCATCAGGCTTTTATTTACATCCATTTATAAACTCTCTATCTACATAGTGTTCAAAAAGCGTCATCATCATCATCATCATCATCATCATCATCATCATCATCATCATCATCATTATTGTCACTTTCACTAACGATATTGATTCGAGCATACGATCCTCACGGATTTGTTCTTACCAGCCGTGTGCGACTGTGGCTGCTGGGAATCCGTGCATCGTTCCGGCTGATCGAGTCCTTCCGCAGAATTGTCTCCGCTGCCGCCCTTCAGAGACCGATACAAAGAACGCACTTTACTGGCGGACGAATGACCAGGAGGTGTCTTAGGCTTCGTGCCATCCGGAGATTTCCTAGGTCGTCGACTTTGGCTACGATCACGACTCTCCTCTCTGCCTGGTGACTTTTTACGATCCTCTTTACTCCTGGCCTTGTCGATCAGCTGACTGAGCACTCCTCTCTTCGAATCTGAAGATTTCGCGGTCCCATAAACCATGATGTTTCCACTGGAGTCCAAAACCGCACCAACCCCGGAAGGAGTTTGACAACGTGTTGGTATCTCTTTTGATTCTAAATTAAAAGAAGCGAAACAAGAGCAGGATATACTTCATCTTCCGAATAAATGATAAAATTATTGATTTTAGGAAGAGAAGCACCGATTTACTCTGGATCAAGATCGAAGATAATCACCTTTCATATAAAGAGCATTATCAGCACTGGTGGCACTGGCACGCGAATGCCGATGATCCTTAGTGGGTGCTTGGGTTTGCGGTTGCTGTGTTTCCTGCAGCTGCAATTGTGCCAAGTGATTCAGTAACATTTGTACATGCTGATTACTAGCGGCATCGGAGGCTGCGATGCTCACTTCTCCGGCAGTGACTTTGCTCCCGAAAGATTTGATGAACGGTTCCAGTTGTTGAGCAAGACTGAGCAGTTGTTTTACCTGACTTCTTAGCGATAAAATGTCGTTCATCTGAATACGAGCGTGAAAATCATCGAACGAATGAATTATCATTGAAGAAAAGGACGATGTTTTATTCGACAGAAAGGAAATACCTGGGAATGAAATATTTCTTTCTCCACGTGAATTCTACACAATTGTTCGTCCCAGAGGCCTTCGAACACGTTTCTAAGTCGCTCCAGTTCCATCTGATGATATTCCAATTGCTGTTCCAGCACCCTGCAATCCCTGGCTACGTGTTCGTAACGCGTGCCCAACGGAGGAGTGTTTGCTTTTCTCAGGAGAGCCACGTCGCGATGCAACTCCCCTAAACGCTCCTTCACCGTGTGCAATTGTTGATTCAATTCCTTCAGCTGAGTATCAAAAGTTCGGCAGTGATTGGAGAACGGTCCACCGTCGCTCTTGGTTGGAATCCTCGGTGCAACCTTGCTACTCTGTTTCGGAAAATAGAGATTTCACACGTAAATCCTACGATCGGTATCTCTGTCTCACACGATCAGACGTATATATACATATGTATATGCAGATGTATAGTATATATACTGGTCTGAGTAAAGACTGTCTGATACTGACTACGACACATCATCGCCTAAGATACTAACAGGAAACAAAACGTGTATTTTTTTTTTTTTTTTGTATTTTCTCTGTTTTGCCGAGAAATAACAGTCAATTATTCGCTACTAGAGGTAGAGTGACTGAGTAATCTCTAAAGTCTGTCTACTTAACTACCACCATTACGAATTAAAGTACAAGCCACATCATATAATATATCGAGTAAAATCCTGTAAACAAAAAATACTTACACAGAAGTGTGCGCGAGAAATGCAATGAAAAAGAAACTTGTAATATGAACGTAAAGACGGACATTCGTAAATCGAGAAGTTGAGCCAGGCTAAATGCATCTAGGTACCTGAATCACTGGCGGATCCGGCTGACTCATCGGGTGAGTTTGATCGTACAACGATTCTTTCGGGGTCTGCACCTGACCTACGTATGGCTGCAACGCTCGAGCAAAATCGTTCTTGTAATTGGTCTTGAGGTGTGCCGTGACCAAAGGCGGCCTTGAAGGATGTCCTAATTGAGCCACTCGACCCAGTCGTTCCAACATTGGATGGGCCAACTCGAGGAATTGGTACTTGGTAGCGCCGCTGGTGAACGCTGTGCAGAGCATCAGATGCATTTGCAAAATGGGAAGAGCGCTACTCAGAGAGAGCAGCTGGCTACGGACCATCCTTTCCTTCATTTCAAATTGTCTCTGCAATTCTGTCAGAACATTTCCATGGGTCTTCGTTATCGCCTCCTGCATTCCCTGACAGAAAGAATTCAACGCCCTTTTCTCCGATTCCAGACTGTGTCGCAGCTCGTCCAGTTGTGATTTTAAAGCTAGTACCCCATCTCTGACGCCAGCTTGAAGCTCACAAATGGAATTGACGGCTCGTTCCATCTTCTTCGACGCCTGCTGCCAGGCACTCTCGATGTCCACGCAATGGATTCTCGCGTCTTGGGGTGTGTCGCGAAAACATGTGGCGCAGAGCATGCACTTGGCACTTTGGCTGAACATTATATAATGTTCTCCGTGCGTGGGACAACGACGTTGAGTATCTTTGGCGCATTTGCTCATGTGCAGCACCTCGTGCGTGGAAAACATTTTCGCGCGGTGAGTGTGCTCCCTGCAGTGTGTACACAACGCTTGTCCTGTGTTCCCAGAAGGTTTCAGGTTTTAGTCTAGTTGGTGCTGATTCTTTTAAAGATACATATACTATAGTTGAATGCTACATACCACATGTTGTACAAAAGAACATAGTAGACTTGTCACGCTTATCACAGTTGGCACATGGTGGATTCTCAGAGTTTGCCAACTCGACTAGTTGACGTATCAGCTGATCAGGTGGTGGTAGTTGTGCTCCATCCTTTATCTGTGTCTGTTGCCTATGCACAGTAACGCATATTATATTTATGGAAACACAGGGTAGTTGAAAGTGTAGTATATTTAACAGATGCAAGAAACACTTTGAGCTTCGCGAAAGAATATCATAATAAAGTATATGAAAATATGTTTCAGACAGAAGAAGCGACACACAAATAGAAGAATAGTAAAATCACAGTTCAAAGGTGAAAATGAGAAGAATAACTCTGCATACTGCTTCTTCATTCCAGTCTCAATAACATCAAGCTAAAACTATCATGTGCACAGACTTTATTGTACAACTATAAGATGATTGCAGGTTGTATGGTCGCACACTACACAGATACAACATAAACCACAGAATGCCTTGTATTCTTGTACTCAGAACTATCAGAACAGAAGTGTGCGAAGAGAAAGGTGATCGTATAGAAAAAACTGACCAAACTTTCATAGATTTTCTCATCGTACTTGGAAATAAGTTGGCACAGACACTTAAAACTATCGAAAGATACTTTGTAACATGCAGTTAGTAACCGAACCTAACCCAGACCTGGGATCACCACCCACCCTAAGGATGCCATGCAATAACAGTCGTTGCTATCTACCCGCAGTTTGGACAGGAGAGCTTTCCCTCTAGATGAGGGCCACGAATGCAGCGGGCACAAAAGGTGTGAAAGCAGGATAGAAGACAAGGCTCGTTGTAATAGTCGTGACAGATGCCGCAGATCAGTGGATTCCTAGGCCCGCCACCGGTTACACCTGTCGTACCATCGTTTTCGCCGACGCCGATACCATCGACCGCCGACACCGCCGAACTCGCCATCGTCGGCAAAAGCAACGGCGGCCACCTGAAAATCAGAATCCAAAACGTGTGCTTTACCACCAACCAACTCCTTTATATTTCTCTCTCACACACACTTTCTCTCTCTCTCTCTCTCTCTTTCTCTCTCCCTTTCTCCTTCTCTCTTTTTTTGCTACGCTTCTCTCTCGAGCGTTCCATGAGCTTGTTAATAACACATGTTAATAATAATTAATAAACGCAGGCAAAAACAACGTGCAACTGCTTGAAACGATCGCAAAGAATGTTTACCCCAAGACCGTTGGCCCGCCCGCCGCAGAAAACCCTGATGGGTAGTTTATCGGCTCGTCATTCTGACGTAGTATGGTGGGCAACCCCTAGTTTGCGCCTGACGATCGGCTCTGACGTCACTGAGGTGCCACCAA